GTTCAGTTTCAGTTCATTCATTTAATTCATAAAAACAGTTAAATGTTTCTGAACTTTCTCTTTTGATTTTTGTTGAGACGAGGAGAAGCAGAAACTGAGTCTGTGTCCGTTTGAGTTTCACCACAGAAACTCGGAGCCGTAATTATCCTGAAAAAAACCAAAACCTCCAGCAGATATTTTGAGTTTATTATAGTGACCAGACTGACTCAGGAGCAGACAGGAGCAGACAGGAGCAGACAGGAGCAGACAGGAGCAGACAGGAGCAGACAGGAGATGGTGTAGGTCAGACATATCAAACTCAGGCCCGGGGGCCAAATGTGGTCCGTGTTATAATTGTCTTGGTCCGGTGAGATCAGATCAAACATGTGTCGCTGCACATGTTTATCTGGAAATGTTCTTATTTTATCTTCTAGATTCAATGTTTAAATAAAACTTTTATTAAACATTTATTTGAATAAGAAAAAGTTTAACATCACAGATCTACAAAGAAAAGAAAAAAGCTGCAGATGTGGTTGATATTTTTCAATAAATATTTAGTTTGAGTTTGACTCTGGTGTTTGTGCTTCAGGACACGAAGGAACAAGTGAAACGTCTGATTTAGTAGAGAATTTCACTTTAGTCCTGGTTAGTCCTGGTTCAGTCCTGGTTTAGTCCTGGTTCAGTCCTGGTTTAGTCCTGGTTCAGTCCTGGTTTAGTCCTGGTTTAGTCCTGGTTCAGTCCTGGTTTAGTCCTGGTTTAGAGTCCTGGTTTAGTCCTGGTTTAGTCCTGGTTTTCAGTCCTGGTTTAGTCCTGGTTTAGTCCTGAAGTTCAGGTTTTTGTAAAAGTTGGAGACTCATTTAAAATCTAAAGTTTTATTGTGGTTTTTTCGTGTTCGTTTGTGTGGATAAAAATAAAAGCAGAAACATAAAGAAAAAGCCCCGAGGCCGAGGGGGCGGGTCCAGACTTTTGACTGATGTGTGGACACTGATGACATCATGTCGGGGGTCTTCTACATGTGCCTCTATGGTGAAATGTTCAGCAGTTACCACAGTGATGCAGTGCTCACACATTCACACAAACACAAAGATGAGAGGAAGAGAGTTCCAGACAGAGCAGTGCCTCCTGTTAGCGTCGGGATCTGAATCTGGAGAAAATAAATCTGTGAAAATCTGAAATTTCTGAAATGGGTCAAATTCTAAACTCACAAACAGCAGAAGCCCAGAGCCGTGACTCATCCTCTCCACCTCCTCCTCCTCCAGACCGAGCCCCACAGCCCCGCCCCCCTCTCACACAGCCCGCCCCCTCTCACACAGCCCCGCCCCCCTCTCACACAGCCCCGCCCCCCCTCACAGCTGTACAGAGGTGCTCCGTGAGGGGAGGGGCCTCAGCTCCAGACCCAAGTGTTCGACGCACAATGAAAGTGAACGTGTGTGTGTGTGTGTCTCTGTGTGTGTGTGTGTGTCTGTGTGTGTGTGTGTGTGTGTGTGTGTGTCTCTGTGTGTCTCTCTGTGTGTGTGTGTGTGTGTGTGTCTGTGTGTGTGTGTGTCTCTCTGTGTGTGTGTGTGTGTGTGTGTGTGTGTCTGTGTGTGTGTGTCTCTGTGTGTCTGTGTGTGTGTGTGTGTGTGTGTGTGTGTCTGTGTGTGTGTGTGTGTGTGTCTCTCTGTGTGTGTCTCTGTGTGTGTGTGTCTGTGTGTCTGTGTGTGTGTGTGTCTGTGTGTGTCTCTGTGTGTCTGTGTGTGTGTGTGTGTGTGTGTCTGTGTGTGTGTGTGTGTGTGTGTGAGAGAGTCTCACACTCGTCTCTTACAGGAGGTTGTGAGTTTCAGCTTCATCAGGAAACTGAACTCAGGTCGTCTTAAACTGAAGCACCTGAAGGCGACACGAGGTAAACCAGGTGAGTCCAAACTCTGGTCACCAGGAGCCACATGTGTAAACACAGAAGAAGCAGAGGAGGATGGAGGACGAGGACTGGAGCTCAGCACAGGGAAGAATTCAAATCTGTGCAGGTTTAACACGTTAGAATGAACCGTCTTTATTCACACTAAAATCCTTCAAATCAAACAATCAATATTATTGATCAGTTTTATCAAGGTCGATTAGCAACAAAAACTGCAGTAAAAAGTACATTTTTTATTGATGCAAAGTCATTTGGACCATTTCACCCTGGAAGTTTGAAGGCCAAGAAAAATGTGTCTGAGGGCCACATTTGGCCCACGGGCCGTAGTTTGGACTCACCTGACGTAAAGGAACATTTCACCTGAAACTAGAAACTCCAAACCAAACACAAGAACACAAACACATTTGTCCTGTGTGAGCGAGCTCGCCTCTCCACAGACCTGACTGTAATATTCCACAGTGCAGCATTAACCTCAGTGACTCGTTGGTTTTATCTTTGTGTTTCTGTTTCTGTGGAAACACTAAAAGTTCCACACTGTGGCTTTAAAGAGAAAAGAAAAGTGAGTCCAGGTGGAACATGTTCCTGTGTCCCTCACCTGTCAGCGTCGGCCAATCACAGCCTGACCCCCCCCCCCCCCCCCCGCAGCAGCACAAACAGAACCTCTCAGCTCCTCCTCTCCTCTCGTCCTCGTCGCCAAATGTCCCACAGTGTCTCCAGGTCTCCACGGAGACACGACGGACGCTTTTGGTAAACACAGGTCTGGAGGGTCCTGCACCTGCCCGTCCCCCGCACCTCTGCACCTGCCTCTGCACCTGCCTCTGCACCTGCCTCTGCACCTGCCTCTGCACCTGCCTCTGCACCTGCCTCTGCACCTGCCTCTGCCCCTGCCTCTGCACCTGCCTCTGCACCTGCCCGTCCTCTGCAGCTTCATCACTAGATCATTGTTTGTGTTGTTGTGATTTGTTGAAGTTCAGTTCAGTTTGTCTCTGCAGTGTCCTCATGAGCCAATCAGAGCGCAGCACGTCCAGAGCGGCCAATCAGAGCGCAGGAGCGTGTTCCTGCTCCTCCTGTGAGGAGACAGACACAAGATGGAGGATGAGTTCAGATGAGTTTGTCTGTGTGTCTGTGGCAGAGTGGTTAGTCTGTCTCCTCTCTGTGAGGAGGTTGTGGGTTTGATTCCAGACCTGATTTCTCCTGTGAATGTGACATGTGCAGAGTCTGATTTAAAAACAAGTTTGTTCAGATTTAAAAACACAAAGAAGAGTTTGTCTCTTCACAAAACTGTCTCAGTCCCCCTCACACCCGTGTCCCCCTCACTCGTGTCCCCTCACGTGTCCCCCCCCTCACCTCGTGTCCCCCTCACGCTCGTGTCCCCCTCTTGTGTCCCCCTCACACCTGTCCCCCTCACACTCGTGTCCCCTCACTCGTTGTCCCCCTCACCTCGTGTCCCCCTCACGCCCGTGTCCCCCTCACACCTCGTGTCCCCCTCACACTCGTGTCCCCCTCACACTCGTGTCCCCTCACACTCGTGTCCCCCTCACGGTCGTGTCCCCCTCACCCTCGTGTCCCCCTCACGCCCGTGTCCCCTCACACCTCGTGTCCCCCTCACGCCCGTGTCCCCCTCACGCCCGTGTCCCCCTCACGCCCGTGTCCCCCTCACGTCGTGTCCCCCTCACACTCGTGTCCCCCTCACACTCGTGTCCCCTCACACCCGTGTCCCCCTCACACCCGTGTCCCCCTCACACTCGTGTCCCCCTCACCTCGTGTCCCCCTCACCCTCGTGTCCCCCTCACACTCGTGTCCCTCACACCCGTGTCCCCTCACACTCGTGTCCCCTCACCCTCGTGTCCCCCTCACACTCGTGTCCCCCTCACACTCGTGTCCCCCTCACACTCGTGTCCCCCTCACACTCGTGTCCCCTCACACTCGTGTCCCCCTCACACCTCGTGTCCCCCTCACACCCGTGTCCCCCTCACACCTCACACCCGTGTCCCCCTCACACCCGTGTCCCCCTCACACTCGTGTCCCCCTCACACTCGTGTCCTCCTCACACTCGTGTCCCCCTCACACTCGTGTCCTCCTCTCTCCTCCGTGAACTTGGAGCTGCTGATGTGGAGCTTTGTGGCTCTTCCTCGCTCCTCCTCCTCCGCAGACGCAGCCGGTGGAGCGGTGCCATGTCCCGAGCACCTCCCGGCCCAGAGCGCGCATCACAGCGTGCACGTGCGCCGGCGTGTCCACGTGGAGGTGTGTGCACTCTCTCATTATGGGGCAATTAACCTGCAGCCGCCCACAGCATCTGCCCCAGACCCGAGTCTTTAACCCCGAGTCTTTTGGAGCGGCCGCGCGCTTTTACGCACGGAGCTTACAGAAGATGAACTGGCGTGAACCTGAGTGCGTGTGCGTGTGCGTGTGCGGGGCGGGGTGGGGGCGCTCGTGCGGACATGTCTGCTCCTGCCGCAGGTGAGAGTGAAGTCTCCACACCTGGCCCCGTGCACGCGCATTCCAGCCTGCAGTGGGACGTGAGCGCGCACGGAGGTGTTTGGAAAAGTTTGGAAAAAACGAACTGCGCTTCTGCTCCACACCAGAGCAAAAGAGCCACGGACACGAGGGACACACGAGGGACACACGAGGGCGTGGGAGACGTCACGGACCTTTGTGCCCTTGAGCCAGACACTCTCTGAAATAAACCTGTAAAAGTCACGCTCCATCCGGGGAACATCAACTTTAAAGTCTATAAACACAGAGGGCTGCTCCTGCCTGCTCCTGTCAGTCCCTGCCTGCCCCTGTCAGTCCCTGCCTGCCCCTGTCAGTCCCTGTCAGTCCCTGCCTGCGCTGGCCCTGCCTCGTTCTCACGGCGCACAGGGAGAAAACACAAAGTGGTGGTGTCTCTTTTTAGAGCGTCTCTGTCCACGTCCTCAAAAAGAATGGATCTAATTAGACGCTGTGTTCGTCATCATCCTGGCGCAGCGCGCGGCCGGAGGAGGCGCACTGGAGCAGGCGCGCGCCGCGGAGCAGCGCACGTCCGGCCCGCTGATTGGAGGAGAGCGCGCTGAGTGACAGCTCGAGCGGAGTCCCTCCTGCCGTATAAAGGGGCCCCGGGGTCCTGCGGCTCTCAGCATCACGGCAGCAGCTTTCCGCTCAGTTTGGAGTAACTCCGTCCCCTGTATGACTGCATAAGTGCGCTCACGACCAGGGCTCAGCGGCACAAGGAGTCTGCATGTCCGCGTAGACATGCTCAGCTTTGTGGATACCCGGATTCTGTTGCTGCTCGCAGTGACCTCATATCTCGCGACATGTCAGTGTAAGTGTGGGATGTCTGTGGACTCGGGGGAAGTTTGTGGACTCGGGGGATGCTCGACTTTTTGCTTTGGACCTTTTCACCCGGAGTCTGGGACTTGGTTGTTCTCCAGCGGAATATCTCCTGAGGACCTGTGTGTTTGTTTTTCTGCAGCTCTGGTGGATCATGGACAGGTTTATGTAGGACAGAGCAGAGGATCATGAGCAGGTTTATGTAGAAAAGTCTGGAGGAGGTGGAGGAGGTGGAGGTGGAGTCGGTGGGGTGGAGGTCTGGGGGTCTGAGGGTCTGAGGGTCTGGGGGTCTGGGTGTGTTGCAGTGAGACCCTGGTGCAGTGGAGGTTAGTCTGGTCTGGGTTTGTGGTGCCTTAGATGGAAAAGTTTGGGGCGTTGGACTCTTTGTTCCAGATGGAGAATCTCAGTGGAAACTGTGCACACGCCCCCTGGTGGAGCGAGCGGGACAAACACGCGTCAGTTTAGAAGAAAAGAACATTTCCCCAGAATCACGCGCCAGGAAACTTTTACTCATCTTTATTTTATATTTATTATAATAATCTCAGGCTCATAGTGATTTAAAATCAAACCTGTGACCTTTGACCTTTAACTTTATTCTAAAAAACTGCAGAACATTAGTTTATATTTTATATTTATTAGTTTATATTTATTTTATTTGAGTTTGTGGTTTGTCGGTGTCTCTGCTGCAGCTCAGAGTCTGGTGTCCACATCTGTCCACATCTGTCCACATCTGTCCACATCTGTCCACATCTGTCCACATCTGTCTCTGTGACGTAGACACTGGGCGGTGCACTTGCGCCCTCTTGTGGCTGGATTTGCTCAGGACGTGGCAGGGGTCACGTGGAGGTCTCTCTTGGACCTGGTCCAGTTCTGAGACCTGAGGAGGTCCACACTGGCTCTGGTCCAGGACTGAGACCTGCTCCGGGTCTGGACAGGACTCTTAGTTTGCCCTTTGACCCCAGCGCGAGATTCTGACCCACATTTAAACATTTAAACATTTAAACATTTAAACATTTAACTTTAACTGAAACATTTAGAAACAAAACGAAGCATCAGCAGAGTCTGAGTCTGAGTCTGAGTCTGGACCGAGCACGTGACCCACTCTGACCTGGTCTATTATTATTCTTCTTCAGGTGTAATTACACATGATTAAGTTGTAATTACATGTGATATATTATTATGTACATCGTCCAGCCTCCTCCCGCGCACGCGCAGCTCTAGTTCCACTTTCACACACTTTCAGCCTCGAACCACGAACCCCCGAACTCTAATCACGTGACGGAGCAGAACAGCGGCCCCGGGGGACCTCTGCGGGGCGTCTGCGGGGCTCTGCTGCGGGGCCTCTGCGGGGCCGCACGGGGCCTCTGCGGGGCCTCTGCGGGGCGTCTGCGGGGCCTCTGCGGGGCCGCGCGGGCGTGTTTCGGCCTGTGGCTCCTCGTGCCTCCGCCTGACGCTGGAATGCGCCGCGCGAGAAAAGCCCGGATGCCCTGCAGCGGCACTTTCACTAACGATCACAGAACAGGACCAGACCGAGCACTTCCCCCGAGTCTCACACTCTACTGGAGTACAAGTACACGAAGTACACGAGTACTGCAGTGTGTACTCTCCTGTAGTACTGTGCTGTGTACTGCAGTACTGCAGGAGAGTACTGTAGTACTACAGTACTGCAGTACTGCAGTATTACTGTATCTGAGCTGAGTACAAACTCTGTTCATGTTCTAACAAGTGTCCTCTTTTGTTTCCTTGTCCCCTCTCTTGTCTCCTCATCTCCTCGTCTCCTTATGTGTGCTCCGGACCCCAGCCTCGGTCAGTACACACACACACACACACACACACACACACACACACACTTACCTGAGTCAGCCTGGTCGTCCTCAGCAGCAGCAGTGTGTTTCTCTCTCGTCTCCATGAGCCCTGGTTCAGAGTGTGGTCCTGGGGCAGACCCGGGCCCGGTCCTGGGGCAGACCCTGGGCCGGTCCTGGGGTCGTCCGGGCTGGTTTTGGGNATGTTTATCTGGAAATGTTCTTATTTTATCTTCTAGATTCAATGTTTAAATAAAACTTTTATTAAACATTTATTTGAATAAGAAAAAGTTTAACATCACAGATCTACAAAGAAAAGAAAAAAGCTGCAGATGTGGTTGATATTTTTCAATAAATATTTAGTTTGAGTTTGACTCTGGTGTTTGTGCTTCAGGACACGAAGGAACAAGTGAAACATCTGATTTAGTAGAGAATTTCACTTTAGTCCTGGTTCAGTCCTGGTTTAGTCCTGGTTCAGTCCTGGTTTAGTCCTGGTTCAGTCCTGGTTTAGTCCTGGTTTAGTCCTGGTTTAGTCCTGGTTTAGACCTGGTTTAGTCCTGGTTCAGTCCTGGTTTAGTCCTGGTTTAGACCTGGTTCAGTCCTGGTTTAGTCCTGGTTTAGTCCTGAAGTTCAGGTTTTTGTAAAAGTTGGAGACTCATTTAAAATCTAAAGTTTTATTGTGGTTTTTTCGTGTTGTTTGTGTGGATAAAAATAAAAGCAGAAACATAAAGAAAAGCCCCGAGGCCGAGGGGGCGGGTCCAGACTTTTGACTGATGTGTGGACACTGATGACATCATGTCGGGGGTCTTCTACATGTGCCTCTATGGTGAAATGTTCAGCAGTTACCACAGTGATGCAGTGCTCACACATTCACACAAACACAAAGATGAGAGGAAGAGAGTTCCAGACAGAGCAGTGCCTCCTGTTAGCGTCGGGATCTGAATCTGGAGAAAATAAATCTGTGAAAATCTGAAATTTCTGAAATGGGTCAAATTCTAAACTCACAAACAGCAGAAGCCCAGAGCCGTGACTCATCCTCTCCACCTCCTCCTCCTCCAGACCGAGCCCCACAGCCCCGCCCCCCTCTCACACAGCCCCGCCCCCCTCTCACACAGCCCCGCCCCCCTCTCACACAGCCCCGCCCCCTCACAGCTGTACAGAGGTGCTCCGTGAGGGGAGGGGCCTCAGCTCCAGACCCAAGTGTTCGACGCACAATGAAAGTGAACGTGTGTGTGTCTCTGTGTGTGTGTGTCTGTGTGTGTGTGTGTGTGTCTCTGTGTGTCTGTGTGTGTGTGTCTGTGTGTGTGTGTCTCTCTGTGTGTGTGTGTGTGTGTGTCTGTGTGTGTCTCTGTGTGTCTGTGTGTGTGTGTCTGTGTGTGTGTGTCTCTCTGTGTGTGTGTGTGTGTGTGTCTGTGTGTCTCTCTGTGTGTGTGTGTGTGTGTGTGTGTGTCTGTGTCTGTGTCTCTGTGTGTGTGTGTGTGGTGTCTGTGTGTGTCTCTGTGTGTGTGTGTGTGTGTGTGTCTGTGTGTGTCTGTGTGTGTGTGTGTGTGTCTGTGTGTCTGTGTGTGTGTGTGTGTGTGTGTGTCTCTGTGTGTGTGTGTGTGTGTGTGTCTGTGTGTGTCTCTGTGTGTGTGTGTGTGTGTGTGTCTGTGTGTGTGTGTCTTGTGTGTCTCTCTGTGTGTGTGTGTGTGTGTGTCTGTGTGTGTCATGTGTGTGTCTGTGTGTGTGTGTGTGTGTGTCTGTGTGTGTCTGTGTGTGTGTGTGTGTGTGTGTGTTGTGTGTGTGTGTGAGAGAGTCTCACACTCGTCTCTTACAGGGAGGTTGTGAGTTTCAGCTTCATCAGGAAACTGAACTCAGGTCGTCTTAAAACTGAAGCACCTGAAGGCGACACGAGGTAAAACCAGGTGAGTCCAAACTCTGGTCACCAGGAGCCACATGTGTAAACACCAGAAGAAGCAGAGGAGGATGGAGGACGAGGACTGGAGCTCAGCACAGGGAAGAATTCAAATCTGTGCAGGTTAAACACGTTAGAATGAACCGTCTTTATTCACACTAAAATCCTTCAAATCAAACAATCAATATTATTGATCAGTTTTATCAAGGTCGATTAGCAACAAAAACTGCAGTAAAAAGTACATTTTTTATTGATGCAAAGTCATTTGGACCATTTCACCCTGGAAGTTTGAAGGCCAAGAAAAATGTGTCTGAGGGCCACATTTAGCCCACGGGCCGTAGTTTGGACTCACCTGACGTAAAGGAACATTTCACCTGAAACTAGAAACTCCAAACCAAACACAAGAACATAAGAACAACTGTAAGAAAAATAGAAACAACTGAAAAACACAAACACATTTGTCCTGTGTGAGCGAGCTCGCCTCTCCACAGACCTGACTGTAATATTCCACAGTGCAGCATTAACCTCAGTGACTCGTTGGTTTTATCTTTGTGTTTCTGTTTCTGTGGAAACACTAAAAGTTCCACACTGTGGCTTTAAAGAGAAAAGAAAAGTGAGTCCAGGTGGAACATGTTCCTGTGTCCCTCCCCCCCCCCCGCAGCAGCACAAACAGAACCTCTCAGCTCCTCCTCCTCCTCTCGTCCTCGTCGCCAAATGTCCCACAGTGTCTCCAGGTCTCCACGGAGACACGACGGACGCTTTTGGTAAACACAGGTCTGGAGGGTCCTGCACCTGCCCGTCCCCCTGCACCTGCCTCTGCCCCTGCCTCTGCACCTGCCCTCCCCCGCACCTGCCTGCACCTGCCTCTGCACCTGCCTCTGCACCTGCCCGTCCCCCGCACCTGCTCTGCACCTGCCTCTGCACCTGCCTCTGCCTCTCTGCACCTGCCTCTGCCTCTGCACCTGCCTGCACCTGCTCTGCACCTGCCCGTCCTCTGCAGCTTCATCACTAGATCATTGTTTGTGTTGTTGTGATTTGTTGAAGTTCAGTTCAGTTTGTCTCTGCAGTGTCCTCATGAGCCAATCAGAGCGCAGCACGTCCAGAGCGGCCAATCAGAGCGCAGGAGCGTGTTCCTGCTCCTCCTGTGAGGAGACAGACACAAGATGGAGGATGAGTGCAGATGAGTTTGTCTCTGTGTCTGTGGCAGAGTGGTTAGTCTGTCTCCTCTCTGTCAGGAGGTTGTGGGTTTGATTCCAGACCTGATTTCTCCTGTGAATGTGACATGTGCAGAGTCTGATTTAAAAACAAGTTTGTTCAGATTTAAAAACACAAAGAAGAGTTTGTCTCTTCACAAAACTGTCTCATCACACTCGTGTCCCCCTCACGCCCGTGTCCCCCTCACGCCCGTGTCCCCCTCACGCCCGTGTCCCCACTCGTGTCCCCCTCACCACTCGTGTCCCCCTCACGGTCGTGTCCCCCTCACACTCGTGTCCCCTCACCCCTCACACTCGTGTCCCCCTCACGCCTGTCCCCCTGTCCCCCTCACGCCCCGTGTCCCCACGCTCGTGTCCCCCTCACGTCGTGTCCCCCGTGTTCCCCTCACACTCGTGTCCCCCTCACACTCGTGTCCCCCTGACACTCGTGTCCCCTCACACTCGTGTCCCCTCACACTCGTGTCCCCCTCACACCCGTGTGTCCCCCTCACCCTCGTGTCCCCCTCACACCTCGTGTCCCCCTCACACCGTGTCCCCCTCACACCCGTGTCCCCCTCAACACCCCGTGTCCCCCTCACACGTGTCCCCTCACACTCGTGTCCCCTCACACTCGTGTGTGTCCCCCTCACAACACCGTGGTCCCCCTCACACCCGTGTCCCCCTCACACTCGTGTCCCCCTCACACTCGTGTCCTCCTCACACTCGTGTCCCCCTCACACTCGTGTCCTCCTCTCTCCTCCGTGAACTTGGAGCTGCTGATGTGGAGCTTTGTGGCTCTTCCTCGCTCCTCCTCCTCCGCAGACGCAGCCGGTGGAGCGGTGCCATGTCCCGAGCACCTCCCGTCCCAGAGCGCGCATCACAGCACGTGCACGTGCGCCGGCGTGTCCACGTGGAGGTGTGTGCACTCTCTCATTATGGGGCAATTAACCTGCAGCCGCCCACAGCATCTGCCCCAGACCCGAGTCTTTAACCCCGAGTCTTTTGGAGCGGCCGCGCGCTTTTACGCACGGAGCTTACAGAAGATGAACTGGCGTGAACCTGAGTGCGTGTGCGTGTGCGTGTGCGGGGCGGGGTGGGGGCGCTCGTGCGGACATGTCTGCTCCTGCCGCAGGTGAGAGTGAAGTCTCCACACCTGGCCCCGTGCACGCGCATTCCAGCCTGCAGTGGGACGTGAGCGCGCACGGAGGTGTTTGGAAAAGTTTGGAAAAAACGAACTGCGCTTCTGCTCCACACCAAAGCAAAAGAGCCACGGACACGAGGGACACACGAGGGACACACGAGGGCGTGGGAGACGTCACGGACCTCTGTGCCCTTGAGCCAGACACTCTCTGAAATAAACCTGTAAAATCACGCTCCATCCGGGGAACATCAACTTTAAAGTCTATAAACACAGAGGGCTGCTCCTGCCTGCTCCTGTCAGTCCCTGCCTGCCCCTGTCAGTCCCTGCCTGCCCCTGTCAGTCCCTGATTTTCAGTGCCCATGCACTGCGCTGACCTCTGAACTCGCTAGTGGCACGAGACAAGAACCACACAGAGTAGGAAGTTTACTAAAAACAGCACACCCAACTTACGACATTCAACCCGTGGCCTAGGTACGCACTGAAGGCTGTCACATCACCCACTTCTATAAACACAACTCCACACAAAGCAGCGTACTACAACCGATGATTCTCACAGCAGTCCCTCACTAAAAGCACAATGGAACATCATAACAAATTACAGCACGCATGTCGATTCGTTCATCAAATCGGCCGTGGCTGGCGAGAGTCGCGGCGGCCGGGGAGTGCGCCCCCTCCCGCGCGCCAGGCAGTCGCAGCCGTCAGAAGTAACTCAAATTTAGGCAGTTCGCGATCAGACTCCGATGTCCACCAGGCGATTTGGAGAGAGAGACAGCCAAGCATACGAAGAGTGAGCAGCTCGAGCGAGTCCTCTCTGCGCATACTAATAGGGCACCGGACCGTCCTTGGCGGCTCTCAGCAATTTATATCACGAAGCCGAAGTAGCTTCGACTACGCGAGTTTGCGGGTCTTGGAAAAGAACTCT